GAATTTTGCTATCATACTTCTGCAAAATATACAAAAGTACGTATATTTTACGTTTGTTTTAACAATTCAATACTGATTAATAGTTAAGATACAATTCTTTTTAGTCCATTACTTTCTTTTTTTTCTTAGCTTTCCTAGAATATCCACATTATCTTTCTTCAAACCATTCGACTTTCTTTAAATAATGTCAACAGATTCTGTAATTCTCGATGATTCTAGTACAAGAAATCGATATTCTTTTCTTCAATGGGTCCCACAAAATTCATTAAGTGGGGAGGGTCATAATATATCAAGATCAATGTCACTACATCTCCATTCGACTTTTCGAAGAGTTTTTGTTGGTCCTACTCCGGTAAATTGGAATTATAAAAAAAAATCTTTTTGGTTCTCTAAAAGTGATAGGGCTGTACATCGCGGTACAAGGAAAAGAAAAACTTTTAGAGCTGCCACTGATGTTATTGGTCCAACAAATATGTCTTCTCTCGATTATAATGTTCCTGATGATCAATGGTAATAAGTATTTTTGAATTATTGTCTGATATTGTTATACATATATTTATACTCATTATTAACATATATTAAATACAGTGAAAAGCCAAATATTATATCAGATGCTTCTTTCCTTGTCGAAGAACCACAAGAGTTGGAAATTATAGAATCAGATACGGAACGTTCAATAATGAACAGAGATGTCTTTTATACCCCATCCGAAAATATAAAATCTTATCCTGTTACACCACCTCACAAGCCTCATTTGTTTAGTTCAAAAAAAAAATCTCGACCTCAGTCATTACCATTGAATTTGCAAGATTTACAACAAATTGTTGAATCTCCTCCTGAAGAGAATAATGTTCCGGTACCATCAACAAATTCGTCAAAATCTTATATCAACCATGATGAAATAAATGATCGAGGATTTAATGCAAATAATGATGATGAATCTTTTCAGTCCATGATTAATTCAGACTCTGAGTCTTTTGAAACTCCCGTTTGTGAATCAGGAGTTGTCCTCAAAGAGAATCGTATATTAATTAGAATCGAGCGTGTGCATCATTCAGGTGTTCCAAGGATATATAATGATTCTACTTCAAAGAAGTATCTTACTCACTCTATAGGATGGAGAGAATATATTGTGAAATTAACAACTGATAAAGTTGAGTTTTATAAGAGTAGGGCAAGTCTCACACTAAATTTTTTGTGTCAAGATTTCTGTAAAAATTTCCTACAATCAAATCACATTTTAATTTGTTTAATTTTTACAGAATAATCGTGTTGATAAACTTATTTTTACTTCTTCAACGCGATTATGCCTTTATTCGTCGGTTGACTACACGATAGCTTTATCTGATCCATGTGACTATGGAATGAAAGTATTTATATTCCGACCAAAAACTTATGCCCTAAGTGTTGAATGGTATCGCGCTGTATATAATTTACTTAAGCCACCGTCAATTAAACCAGTGCCTCTTACTTGTGATGTGGTTGTACCTGATTTGAATGTTCGTGTACAAATTCCATTAGAAAATAGAATGCAAGTATTCGAAATCACCGCGGAGGAAATAACTAAAACTGTTTTGGATGAATTGGGCGGTATAAACGAATGGGAAGATGTATTAAATGAATGGCTGAAAAATGGTGATATGAGATTATGTTGGAAAAGATATGATCGAATAGAATGGATTGTTTGGGAAAAAAATGATAGTGAAAAAGATAGAAATGACTTAT